TTTAATGCTGTAAATAAACTTTAAAATTTCAATAAAGGTTTTTAAAGTGTGTAAATAAATCCTAGGCGTCAGGTAATTTATCACCGTTGATGAACCACACACAGAATATTTTATCGTTTGTAAACAGCCAGCTACTAGGAACCGCGACGTGCACGCAGCTGTCGGCCGTATGGCATGCACGCAAAACTCTGCACAAGACCGACGAACGGCAGGCGAGCAGAGAGGAAATGGTCAACAGTAAAACTCAGTTTAGCTGGAAATGTACAGTTTAAGTTACACTGACTAATGAACAGAGACTGCAGCTCTGCAGCAAGATTAAAGCACCCATGAGACGTATTTTTTGTAGGCTCACCCAGAAGTTAGCGTCGCTCTGGTTCCCTCGGCAAAAAGCCGCTTGGATTTTCTCCCTGGGTTTTTGGAACATTGCCGAAAATAAACGGTTTGGTTTATGGTTCTTGGAGTGTCTCCATTTATCTGAGGTTATCTACATTTTTCTCAGAGTATCTCAGTATTTTATACCATGTCGTTTGTAGCCACAGGTATTTCTGTTTATTTCAGAGTATCTCAAAGAGTTCGAGCCAGCGTGTCTCCGAGCGTGTCTCAGTGTACCTTGCTGTATTGTTTAGGTGTTGTACTTTAGCAGACAGGCTGTTAATGTGTGTGTTTCTGTCTTTGCAGGACTTGTTTGAACCAGCAGTCCCTCCGTCCCGCCTGTTACAGGCCTGTCACAGCTCAGAGTGGAGGACGTCTTTCTGTACTTTCATTCCTTTCGCCTCCCTTCGGTCTTTCTTTCTCTGGATTTTTGGGGTTTCCTGGCTGCCTCCCTCTGGTTTCTGTGGGCTTGGTTGGGTGCGTTTGATGCGGTTGGACGGGGCCGTAGGGGTCTTTTCTTCTGGCTGCTGGTTGGAGGGTTTAGCTGTTTGTGGGAGGAGCTTATTTGCTGCTGGTTTTAATGTGTTTATTGCAGGGACCTGAGCTGTTTGGTAAAATATGTGTTGTTCTTCTGACTGGGTTTATTTTAAAAACTTGTCTTCAAATCAAACAAATCATCGGATATACTGTAGAGAATTATTCTGATTGGACTGAGGGGGGAAGTCATTTTATTCTGGACTTACTTTCATTTTAATTTCTTCAATGGGTCAAGCTGGGGAGGCCCAGTTTAAACAGGATTTATATTACTTGGGGATCTCTCTTGTGATTTAGGACTTTACTCTCCATGTCTGTGTTTCATTCAGCAAAATGAAGGTCTGCATTTCGGTCGTATTTACTGACTAGACCGGCTATTAATATCTATAAAAACATAGCAGCCAACAAAGTGAGCAGAGGAGCTGAATGTGATGCTGCTGCAGGAGGCCTGTGGAATCATTTACACCACTGCCAACAAATTAATAATTAAATCTAAAGAATTACACCCGGTTTACTGGAACATTGATTTACACAGGATTGATATGTAAGATAATATGTAAGTCAGGGTGAGTCCACTGAGACCAAAACTGACCTGGTTCTAGTTAAAACAGCAGATTCAGCACAGATACTAAACTGTCTTCTGAAACCAAAGTGAAGTCCTGAAATATTCAGTTTCTCAATAGGTCTTTCATAAAATTAAATAGATTGGTTTTATTTGTTTTTTTAAGTTTTTCAGTTTGTAAAATGTTGCTGTTAATCAGATGTGACAGAAGTGCTGGTATAAATTTGACAACTTGTTTTTACTGAATAAAACTTCCTGTTTAAAAACAACATAAACTAAAGTCTCTGGCAGATTAATTTACATTAACGTGATAAACGACTTCTGGGACAGTTGAGGCTAAAACTCAGTGCCTGATCTTTAGCCTTTACTCAGAGGCTCAGTCCCTCTACGTCTTTACCCCGGACTCTGGGTCAAGTTCGGCTCAGTCTGCCGAGACTGCGCAGTGAGTAAACCTCACTCCCCGCCACCTTAAGAGACGCACTGGTGACTGGCGCCAGTGCCTGCGGGGTTTAGCCTCCTCGTCAGCGTGTCCGCCTCCTGTTCCCGAGGTCGCCGGTTCGAGTCAGGTCCGTGCAGTACGTTCTGGGGAGCAGCCGCATGCGCTCGCTTTAACCTCATGGTCCCTCCCACCTACTTCCAGGAAAAACACCTAAAACAACAAACCCAAAATAAATCAGTAATATCTCCTCAACCATCAGGCCTAGATGCGTAATCTGGTCTCCTTTGAAAGGTCAGAAGCTGAGGAATATAAATCCATTGTACATTAACATATTTTCCCATTACAGACTACATGGAGATGCAATACAGAAAAAATCTGATATTTTCATCCTCGCCTGGTAAAAAAAGCACTATTTTAATGCAATAAACCATCAAAACCATCATGAGGTAGATTATAATGCACCTGAATATCTTCTAATCCACCTGGAATAAAACTGTAACTGTAAATCTGATGAAAAGAAACTGATATACAACAGTTATTACACAATCTTTCAAAAATACACCAGGCGAATGTCCTGCACAATATATCGTTTGAGCATCGTCATCACAAATGTGGCCTTGCACAATAGTCACATCGCAGGACAAAGCAATGTCAAGCAAGTCAAATTATTTCAAACACCTCAACTTTTTTGCTGCTTGATACAAAAGAAATGTGGTGTATAGCTGCTCTTTAAATTTTATTTTCATCATTTCTTTAAAATATGTTTACTGCATAAAAGCTTTAGAAAGGATTGGTAGCACTCAAAAAGTATTCAGACTATAAAGACATTTTTGAGCTAATTTATTTTCATTTCCTACAAAATCACCCCAATAATTCTAGGATGCTTAATTCATTTCGCAGAGAGCAAATGAAGTCATCTGGTGAAAATTGCTGTATTCTTTCATATCGCAGAAAAGAAAAATATCGCAGTGTCATTATTTTCCAATATCGTGCTGCCCCAGTTCACTCTGTCATAAAAAGATCAGATCTGAGTCACATACAGGCAAAAAAAATCAGATGTGGGTCACTTTGGCCTGCAGTCTGAACGCAGCCTCAGACTCAGTCCCCGGTGAACAGTAAACAGTGGCAGTAACATTTTAGACCGTGTAGGACACTGAAATAGGTTAATGTGATCCCTCGTAGTGTCTTTGTCTTTGGCCGAGGTTTGGACAAAGTGACGCTTGTCTACGGCTTTTGGATGAAGTGCGTTAAGAGTTTAACATAGACCATATGACTGAATCACAGCTGATAAACCTCCTGCCAAAGACATCGTGTTTGGCCTTGTGAGGGACGGAGCATCTGTCCCGGAGGTTTGTGCCCAAAGTGCCTTTTTATGGCTTGTTGTTGTTGTTGTTTTCTGCCAGCTGTCACATTTTTATGAAATGTATGAGTGCAATGTCTTTGCCAAGCGCCTGGTTTCTGCTGGGTCGAGGGCTTTTTTTGTACCGCAATCTCATAAGAGTTTGAC